GAGTTATAAGTATAATAATTCATTGAAATAAGCCTAAAGAGTTATAAAGTATAATAATTCATTGAAATAAGCCTTAAGAATAATAATGCATTGAAATAAGCCTAACGAGTTATAAAGTATAATAATTCATTGAAATAAGCCTTAAGAGTTACAAAGTATAATAATTCATTGAAATAAGCCTAAAGAGTTATAAAGTATAACAATTCATTGAAATAAGCCTTAAGAGTTATAAAGTATAATAATTCATTGAAATAAGCCTTAAGAGTTATAAAGTATAATAATTCATAGAAATAAGCCTAAAGAGTTATAAAGTATAATAATTCATTGAAATAAGCCTAAAGAGTTATAAAGTATAATAATTCATTGAAATAAGCCTTAAGAATAATAATGCATTGAAATAAGCCTAACGAGTTATAAAGTATAATAATTCATTGAAATAAGCCTTAAGAGTTACAAAGTATAATAATTCATTGAAATAAGCCTAAAGAGTTATAAAGTATAATAATTCATTGAAATAAGCCTTAAGAGTTATAAAGTATAATAATTCATTGAAATAAGCCTAACGAGTTATAAAGTATAATAATTCATTGAAATAAGCCTTAAGAGTTATAAAGTATAATAATTCATAGAAATAAGCCTAAAGAGTTATAAAGTATAATAATTCATTGAAATAAGCCTTAAGAGTTATAAAGTATAATAATTCATTGAAATAAGCCTAACGAGTTATAAAGTATACTAATTCATTGAAATAAGCCTAAAGAGTTATAAAGTATAATAATTCATTGAAATAAGCCTAAAGAGTTATAAATAATAATAATTAATTGAAATAAGCCTAAAGAGTTATAAAGTATAATAATTCATTGAAATAAGCCTAAAGAGTTATAAAGTATAACAATTCATTGAAATAAACCTAAAGAGTTATAAATTATAATAATTAATTGAAATAAGCCTTAAGAGTTATAAAGTATAATAATTCATTGAAATAAACCTAAAGAGTTATAAAGTATAATAATTCATTGAAATAAGCCTAAAGAGTTATAAATTATAATAATTCATTGAAATAAGCCTAAAGATTTATAAAGTATCAAAATCCGAGAGAAAAAAATTCAAATTCGTGGCCATGTGATATCAAAAACATCTCCTCCAGGGCATTTACATCTACTTTAAAAATGCATCACTGGAAATGTTCCGACCAGATGAATTGTAAAGGTGGATATTTAGGCATTTGGCCGCACCTCACCCAACCCAACCTTAACTATCCCACCCCAAAATTCAGTCTTGAATTGAAATACGTACTAATCGAAGCATATGCTTAATACTGCAATTCACATAATTATTGCCAAACTTTTAGGCAAAAGTGAAGGACCTTAAGTTTGGGATAAGATATTTGACAACCAATACCTTACTGATTACTTAATACAGATAGAGAAAGAAATCAACAACAAATACAACAAAAAAACTTGTTATAGGTGTTGCTTTCAGAATGAGAACATATTTTGACATGGTTGTAAGTGACGTCCTTACAGAATAAGAAAACTATACCTTGTCCTCCAGCGTATTTTTCTATGTAGAATTTATCCGAATCAGTATCCGATCCTGTAGCCTGCATGTATATAGAAACAAAGTTGACACCTGATGGCGGAGATAAGGAGGCATGTTCCCAGTCGTCGGTGCTTGCAAAACGAGTCCGGCTAATCTAAATAAGAGAAAAATACAAGAAAGTCTTAGCAAAGCACCTTATCCCCTTTGTGTTATGTGCAAATCAAAGTGCAAAGAAGGCGGGGTCAGTGCTTTTAGCCATCTGACTGCCCCGCACGGCGGCACTTGGATTAACAGTTCGGAAATGTAACAGTAATAGTCATATAGTCATCGCAGGAGTCACCGCTATTCCGCTCCCCCCCCTCTCTCTCTCTCTCTCTCTCTCTCTCTCTCTCTCTCTCTCTCTCTCTCTCTCTCTCTCTCTCTCTCTCTCTCTCGAGCGGGTTGGCTGTGTTAACAGTTGACTAATGCATATGAAATGATTATCATTAAACTAAGAAATCACTTTTGAAGTGAAAAAAGTTATATTTTATGAAAATTTAAAAATGTCGAACATTAAAATTAGGCCTAAAAAAAAATTGTTTTGTTCGGGTCACCCGACCCTACCTAATAATATGCGCCGACCCTACCGTTTTTTTTCGTGTCCAAAAAAAAAAAATCCATGAAAATACCATATTATTGAGGTACTCAATGAGCAGTGTGAAGGGCAATTCAGGCGAAAATTTCGCTGTGTATATTTCCATTTCGCTCTCCCAACTGATCAAAGAGAAGTCAACACTTTCTCGCGCATGCCCAGTTTATTATTTTATTTCAAATAATAAAGCGAGCATACCTGAAAAAGAGCAAAACAAAACATTACACAGTTCACAGAACTTTTTTTAAAAAGTATTTATATATCATCTCGATCTTTTTTTTTCAAAACCTGAAAATACAGTTATTATAAAGATGTTGACTCCAGTGGAAAGTAATCGCCATTTTCTGCATCCTGACCTCGAGGACAAATCTGAAACAATGATCAAATTATTTTATTTATTTATTTTACTTTAAACAATGCTTTCGTTTTACCAGTAAGCCATTCAGTAAATCACTACACGTATATGAACATAATATTCTAGCGTAATTATTAATAGATGGAAGTAGTGTTAAAGGCACATTATGCGTCATAAATGCTATCATTTTTATTTCTCAAAATTTTAAATATTTGGTGTCTTGTTACAAGTTCCACAAAAAAATACTTATTTGCCATATAAATGAACTATCTTTGCATCTTTTGCTTTGCTGGCAATTGGTATAATTATAATGAATTAGTATTTTGTATGGAAGTCAAAATATTATTTGTTTACATTTTGCTACCTTTACGACACATTACTGCACATTCAGCACTACTTTCTTCAGCTGTTAAATAACTTACATGTTCTAAATCCATTATTAAACATGTGTTTTACATTTCTAAAGAATTTAATAAAAAAGGATTTCTGAGGCATATATGTGCCTTTAAGTAAAAATCACTACATTGTCGTTAGTTTTAAAAAATACGTGTTCAAGATATACCTCTGAAATATACACACGATACTTATCGACAATATTTCCTAGATTATATTTTGAAAATGAGCTGGAAAGATGATTATTATTTCGCATTTAGAAAAAATGCATCAACTTACCTCGTGAAATGGTTATTTATGCCCAGTTCCTTCATCGGCATCTAATGGGTGTATTTCTGTGGATATTTCTTAAAATATTTATATGTTTAAATAAAGAAAATATTACGAGAGAAGAAAAAAATCGTGATGGTCATGCGATTAAACAGTTACAGAATATATACGAGGACTTTACCGGCTGGTATCAGCGCATGGGGCGACAAAAGGGTCAATAATGGAAATTAATCTCGACGTTCCGTCTCGATTAATTTCCTTTGATTGACCCTTGTTGTCGCCCCATGCGCTGATACCAGCCGGTAAAGTCCTCGTATATATTCTATAACTATTACTTATTGTTTCAATATATATATTTGTTTTAATGTCATAAATATGACGCTCAGATTAAGATTTATTAATATTGTAAATTTCAAAAAGCATTATTTATAAAGATATTACCGAGTTTAACATTTCATGAAAATAAAGGGTGGTAATTAGAAATTTATTTTCTATAATTTCTCAGTCGAATTATTCAATAAGAAATGAATGTATATAATTTTAGTGATCAAATATAATGTGCACAAATGTTTGCAGTACATATTTTACATATTCTTCGATATTTGAAAATTGTTTTATAAGCATAATTATATGCACATAAATGAGACAATACAACATAGAAGATCATCTACGAACTTTCGCTATACGTATATGCAGTATTTCGATAGAGCGGAAGTCAGTGCGCGAGCATGCGCTTTGCCATATCTCGTTCAGTTACCGCTCACGTTTTAAACTCGGTTGCTATGAAGCGACACTAAGTGTACATGGCTTTTACAACTAAAATATCAGACAAACACATTAAAACAATACACATAAACTACACATAGCTGTTTTCCATATTAATATTTTCCATTTGAAACTGATAGTCAAACAAATATCTCAATATTCTTACCGATTTAATGTATTGTTTACTTGTGATGACAGCAACGCTGTGTGTTAGATTACTTTCGGTTCAGAAAATTCATTTGTTTACCATCAAAACTCATATGTTTACCATAGGAACCACATATAGATTGAAAGCAAATTAAACAAAGGTAAAGAAAAAATTGTCCGTTTCTGAACAAAAAATCGAATAAATAAATACAAAGTCTTTTTAAAATGTCCCTTCTTTGAGTTCATTTGAAAGGGGAATAATTTGGTGGAATTTTAGACAGGGAAACGGGGAGTTATCTTACATGGCTAGTTAAAATGGCCGACTGAAATCATGCAAGCAAGTTTGTAAGTGGTGGGCGAGTGGTTAAAGTCGTTGACTTGAGATCACAGGTCCCTCACCACTGTAGGTTCGATCCTCACTCGGGTCGAAATCTTTCATGTGAGGAAGCCATCCAGCTGGCTTACGGAAGGTCGGTGGTTCTACCCAGGTGCCCGCTCGTGCCTGAAATAATGCCCGGAGGGGCACCTGGGGTCTTCCTCCACCAATAAAGCTGGAAAAAAAATCGACGAAAAATCTCGGCGGGACGCTCTAGGATGACCCGACTTGAGTGTACGGTCGCCCATATGGGCTTTCCGGCGGCGACCTTAAATAAACGCATCAAAAAAAAAAAAAAAAAAAAAAAAAAAAAAAAACAGAACAGGATAGGCAGATTATATTAATCATTATCCAATGCAACTTTATCTGGAAACACAGGCGCTAGTCACATAATCAAATATTTTACATAATCGGTCTATATACGTATATAAAGATATCTTTATATACATATATAGACCGATTATGTAAAATATTTGATTATGTGACTAGCGCCTGTGTCTGGAAAGTAAAGATATAAAGTTAATTTATTAATCATAGTTTTCTTACACATTATTATCAAAAATAGCTGATAAATAGATTGTGTTTCTATTCTAGTTAAAGGATGTATAGCCATGCATGTTAATGCAAGCCATGCATGTTAATGCATACACATTTGGATGTTTCCCTACTGCTGATTTTTCACGAGGAAGTCACTTCTCCCTAAAATTTCCCCCCAGGATGAGCCCTGGGTATGGTACAGGTTTTATCGCCGCTTCGCCGCTCTTAGTTACAAAATGGCGGATCACATCGTCTCGTCAATATTTGTAAAACGGCGTGTGATCTTCACCAGAAGAACGCTGAGAGTTTAAGATTGTTACACCATTTTTCTGAAATGTCTTTTGAAAACATAGAAGGGATGTATTTGTGTCAGAAATTTTCATATCTAAATTTCAATATATTGGTGAAAAAAAAAAAAAAAAAAAAAAATCCGAACTACCCTACCTATTCTTTGAGAGCATGTTACCCTAACAAAACAATTTTTTTTAGGCCTTATGTTGTTTGCATAACCTAATGGTCATTTGTTAAAATATTAGTGACGTAGAATGTCTACCTAATTTGATATACATGAATAGCGTACGTAAACAGAAGAAAATGTTCTGGACAAAATATTCAACTGCTATAGTTGGTTCGTCGTTTACGTATGTATCACTTATTAAAGTTTCATGTTTACGTATGTATGACATATCAATGTTTCGCAAGGTTATAAGGTTTCACATTTCTTGCAGTACTCAAATTTTTAGGTCTCATATTCGCGCTTTTTGTTATGTTTTGCGGTTTCACAACCATGTATTTATCACGTTTTAAGGTTTCACATTCAAGAATAATTGATAATCAAATTATTAAAGAATACAATTTGTAAAATCATATTATCTGAAGTATGAAATTATAGTTCCAACTTACCGTTCCAACATTTCTTGCCTGTATTGATAATTCACTGTCAAAAAGATCGACAAAAAAACCCTGATCGGGTTCATTTATGAACAGGAATACATGCGAATGTTCTCCTTCCTTCTGTAGATGTATACGGTACTCAACGTCTGTAAATTGAATATTAATATAACAAGTTAGAAATCACAATTCTCTGTATAGACCTGGCCCCGAGGTTATGAACATTTACATAGACGAATAGATAATTGGCCACCTACATTTTAATCACAGGTTATGAATAATTGTTTGCACACAAATATGAATAACTAATTTTGCTTATAGATATGTAAAAAGAATACATTGCAATTTATTAACGGGAACAAAAATAACATATCAGTTAAACATGGTCACTCCTAGCACAAAATTAAACTTTATTCCTCATAAATTACCTACAAGTAAACACAAACATGATTACGTCAGTGTTTCGCACCTTCATCAATAAATATAACATAATGCAACAATAACAGCGAAGCTGTCTGCAAGAATTATTCCGACTTATAGAGGGCATTCTGTGCAGCTTTGTTTTTTTTTTTTTTTATAAAAGACAATCAACAAAGAACACAACTGCCTCGGTTTTCCTCCGTGCTGCTACCGCGCTGATACACATGCCGTGTATGAGAATAGCAAGCCGTAATCTAACTTTTTATTGTTGAACTAGCATTCATCATATCTTGTCCTCCTACTATTTGCGATGATATGAAATAACACTTACTTGATATATCGACTTTAAAAAACTGCTATGGCAAATATCACAGTAGATAAACGAAATCACTGCACCACGTCTTGCAAGATTAGAACAATGTCTTGCAATTTCTGGCACCTGCTCCTACCGGTCATTTAGGAGCCTATATATATTTTAGCTAGATAGCCGGAAGTAGGATCGTTTTAACACTGTGAATACGAATAGTTGTAAAAGGTCAGTTAAGATGCATAGCTTACTTGGTATTGGAGTCTTTGTGGTAACTGATGTAGTTGGTGTTGTGGTAACTGATGTAGTTGGTGTTGTGGTAACTGATGAAGTTGGTGTCGTGGTAAATGATGTAGTTGGTGTTGTGGTGTCTGGTGTAGTTGTCGTTGTGGTGTCTGGCGTAGTTGTTGTTGTGGTGTCTGATGTAGAAGTAGCTTGCTCTGTGTTCGTTGTTTGCAAAGTTGTTTGTTTGGTTGTCTCTTCAAAAATATCATCATAGAAAACAGTATCTTTTATATCTATAAATAAGAAAAAGGTTTTTATTCTTAAGCTTCATAGTTTGATTAGGCATAAAAGACAAACAAATATAATCACTTTATCTGCGAAAGTAAAAATGATATACTATAGTATTATTCATTTTGTCAAGGGCTATTCTAACGTTGATTTTGATTTTCAGATGTACTTTTCAACTATAATGTTCCCGGATTACAATGATTTCACTAAGTATGTCCAATTAATACATTGTTAACATCAAGTACCGTTTCCGAGATGATTATTGGTAATTGGCAAATAGTTCAGATTGAAAGGTGTGGTTGAAGATGTGATAATGTAATTCTTATTACATGTTATATTAGTCATTAACCAGTTTATTTAAATTTTAAAAAGAAAATGAAAATATAACCTCTCAAGCAACGAGGAAATTCCGGTGTCCAGTTTCCATGGTGACATTTTGATGTGAAGGTCGTGGTAAATAGAACACCTGGCAGTAGCATAAAACCTCCATCCACGCACTCCCTGAGAACTTCATGTCCATGTTGTACAGGTGCATTGACTTGAAGACTGGTACTACCACCGGAAGTACTACCACCGGAAGTAGTGAAATTAGACGGTCCACCTTTCAATTTCGGTATTATACATGTACTTGATGATCGTCTTTTACGTATTCGATCTGCAGTTTTTAAACCTCTATTTAGTAAGTGATTTCGATTTGTCCTGGCTCTATGATGTAAACGGCCTGCAATTAAGAAAAATAATATTACCATACCAACTCAGAAACGGGAAAGAGGAGCGCTTGACGTCATTTGACTTACAGAGTTGAAAACTTTAATTTAAAGTAAATAACTTTTTAGCGACCAGTAGCTTTTTTATGTTTATCGCCATGATTACGAATTGAATTAACACCAGCTGTTTCTTAGATCTAATTAAATGCAAAGACGCTTGGGGTCATTTTTTCCGGATATTAAAAATTGCGTTTACTATCAAGTGTTATGGTAAACGATAATTTTTCATATACATGTACGTAAAACATGTTTGACAAGCAGTTTTACCGTTTAAACAGATGTCTACGGTGGCATAAAGGTGACGTGTGTGTGTTTTTATTTATCTCGTGGCCACGAGATAGCTAAGTCGTGGTCACGAGATACTATGTCGTGGTCACGAGTTACTAAGTCGTGGCCACGAGATAGCTAACTCGTGGCCACGAGATACTTTGTCGTGGCCACGAGTTACTAAGTCGTGGCCACGAGATAGCTAACTAGACATGTGCTATAGTACAAGGATTCCCCTATTTCACAAGCCTGTAAAAGTGCCATTTATACAACTTATTGACGGGTCAATAATTTTACATTTAGCGTCACTGTGACCTTGATTTTTGACCCAATGACCTCGAAATTATTAGATATTATCTACGGATCAGGTGCAATGATCTTACTTGGTTAAATAAACAATGGCTTATCCCTTCTAAATTATTCATCGGACTTTACCTTATAGGCTATCTACTGTCCATGGGCAATGTCCTTTCCAAATAAAATAAACCAGGACTTATTCCTACTCATTTTATCGTATGAACAAGGTAAACAGTCCGTAGTACGTACAAACTGACCAATTCGATCCCAAAATAAAAATTATTGTCCCAACAAAGAGCTTTATTCAAAATTGATGTCTGATGGGCCTTGGAAGGTGACTTTCTAATATGATCCAAAAGACAATTTCAAAGTGAATATCTTCAGTATTTGCAAAGATTAATGTTGCATGTAAAAGAAATGTGTTAAGTTTTAAAAAATCATAATATATATAGTGTATTCTGATTGGTTAATTATCTCGTGGCCACGACATAGCTATCTCGTGGCCACGACTTAGTAACTCGTGGCCACGACAAAGTATCTCGTGGCCACGAGTTAGCTATCTCGTGGCCACGACTTAGTAACTCGTGACCACGACATAGTATCTCGTGACCACGACTTAGCTATCTCGTGGCCACGACTTAGTAACTCGTGGCCACGACATAGTATCTCGTTGCCATGACTTAGCTATCTCGTGGACACGACTTAGTACCTCGTGGCCAAGACATAGTATCTCGTGGCCACGAGATAAATAAAAAACACACACATGTCACCTTTGTGCCACCGTAGATGTCCAATTCGTGTTTCAATATTAAAATATTTTGATAGAGTGTCACGTTGTGGGGCATAATCTAACCCCAAACGTCTGTGTCTAAATGTATATGTATGATGTTTAATAACATGTTAAGTACGCCTGTCACAATACTTTTCACACATGCGCTGTTCTGATAAAGATACCTTCTCTGGGTTTCAACTTTCTTGCATGACTTGTTTTTATTCAAAATATCGATCATTAAAGTATTTGCGCTATCAAAACTTTGACGATGCCCGCGCATCGTATCATCCCATTTGCTAAAAACTTTAACTACTTAAAATGAAGTTGTTTTGTAGGATACATTAGCAATGAATGACATAATTTGAAACCTTAAGCAATTCATCGGTTGTCAAGTCCGGGAAGTCAAATTTAACGCGGATAACATGTGCTGGGATTGACAAATATACTTTTTATTTGGAATATAAATACGTTTTGAGCTTCATACCCAAAGTGACTGTGATTACAACCTCGTTTTTAATTTCACTGACCTGTGTTGTTAAAATTGCACGTCATGAGAGTCGGTACCCAGCGACCATTTAAACATTTCACTTTCGAATTGCATGTTTTTCTTTGCACATTTGTACAAGTTCAGTCGAGTCGAATGTCTGATTGATATTTGTTTAACAACGTTTCCATTTGATGCAAATCTGAAATATGACCATCTTTTGGCGTGACTATTTACTCTGCACATAGCTGCAGCTAAAAAAGAAATAAAAGAGAGACCTTATTCGTGAACATATCTAAAAACAAATATTTATAAACAAAATTTATTGTCATTCTAATTCTGGACAAACATTATTGGTGAAAAGTTTGGTCTTGGAGCATTAATAATTTAAGCTTCTTAATCACATTTGTCACAAATGAAAATCAAAGCACAAAAGGCGCTGAATTTGTTTGGGTTTCAGAATGTCAGACAGGTGAAGGTTGTTAGATTATAAACCAATTTGTTTTTTTATAGTATGCTGTTTCCAGTGTTATAACTGTTGTAAATTGGCCATAAGGCTAATTGCAACACTGATATTCAATTCAATGTTTATTTGGCTTAAATACTTTAAAAAAAGTTTGCCTTATCTAGGATTAGAACCCAAGCTTCTGAAGCGAGCGTGTAACTCCTTGACCATGGGGATTATATTATAAGATATCAGACATTCAGCAAACCATATTATTCTAAATAAGGGTTTGTAATCATTATTAATTTCGAGATATTTTGTTCAAAGTGATGTAAAAACATGCAAGAAATGTGGTTCTCAAACAAGTGACCTAAATCTCCATGTAATATCAAAATGTATTTCACTTAAAAAGACTCGAACAACTTTCCTTAATAGTGGTTTAAAAAACCAATTAGTTGTAAAAACTCAAGAATTTTTCCTTTGAAAGGATTGAAAACAGGAGGACGGTTTTTTAAAAAATTTTTCTTTTTTCCTTCGGGGGCCTTGGATATATATAAATTTGGGGTTAAATTTCTCCAAAAAAAATTTTCTTTTCAAAGTGCTTTTTAAGTTTAAAAAAACCGATTTTTTTAGTTTTAAAATAACTAAACTTTTTTTAAATCTAAATAAAAAAAAAGGGAAATTTTCAAAGGGGACAAAAAAATTTTTTAAGCGGTTTTCCCCAAAATTTAAACATGCTTATTTTTTCCTTTTTTCCCGGAAAGGATTGTTATACAAAGGTTAAAATTATTTGGGGCATAAAAACCCATGCATGTTTTACATTCCTTTTCAGTTTGATAACTAAATAAAATTTTAAATTTAGGGAAATATGTATAAAACCCTTATATAAATGTGCTTTTTATTGTTACGCTTAAATACTTATTGCTCTAAAGATAACCTTTTGATATAATGCTAATATAATCATATAGAAATATAATCATATAGAAGCTTATACATGTATATGAAACCATTTAACTTGAACTAAATTATTATGTCTCTTTAATAATATATAAATGTACATTTGTCATAATCATGTATCATATGTTTGTATATATATTTCATGTTGTATATGTTGTAATCGCTGAAAAGCGGAAATAAAGAGTATATAACAAAATTTTTTGAATCTATTACCAGTAATTTAAGGAAATGCTAAAGAATTACACAATATTAGAAATCTTCCATCAATCGGAAACTATTTTTCATCCCTCAGAGGTTTGAAAATTAATGCACCTGTCATTTGACAATCTTTACGCAGTGATCTCCCCTTAACTTTTCGGCGTTAGTGTATTTATAAAGGGAAGTAACCGCTTCGAGGACTTCGTGATATTTTGCAAATAAGCATTGTAACACCGCACTTTGGGGTCAAACGCACTTTGGGGTCGAACCCCAAAGTGCGTTACGCACTTTGGGGTCGGACCCCATAGTGCGTTACGCACTTTGGGGTCCAATTTCGACCCCAAAGTGCGTTAAACAGGTACATATGCATTTTTTCAAACATTCAGGCAAACGACCGCACTTTTGGGGTCAGAGAAAATTTATGTTCATTAATGTTTTGAATAATATAGTGTAGTCAAAGCCAATGGTAAACGAAAATCAAGGTATTAAATAGACACAAAACATGTGCCCTGAATCAATAGGGATTTAAATGGTCTTGATTAGTAAGTGAAGAACTTTCACAAAATAAATCACCAAAAAAAGAATTTGTATCAATGCAGCACGCCTCCAGATTCACGCTAATTTTCATGAAAATTTTGAAAATTTATTTGAATGTATAATAATGTGGAATAACCAAAAGGAAGCAATTTGCACATTATCAATGGCACTTATAACTTACGTTAATTACCAAAAAGTTGTCAAAATATGCATAAATAGCCCTTAATGCGTTAGTAACGCAGTAGGAATATAGTTCTAAATATTGAAAACTCAGTCATTGACCGCACATAACATGTAAAATATTACATGAATCTTGAATCATTTTACGTTTCCTATAATCGTAGTACATATTTCTCAAGTTTGATTTTATTGAAATATTTTGACTCATCTGGAGGCATGCAACTTTAAGCTTAAAATATGTTTTTTCTAAAATTTTCCATTTATTTTAAAAGAATGTACACCTTTCATTAACTCCATTGTTTTAGCTAAATGCATCATTTTCCCGTTTGTTATTTACACATTTTACAGAAATATGATAGTCTTTGCATAGACAAAGGTATAAACTCTGTGTAATCTCAGTAAGACTTTTCAGTAAAAAATTTGCCTGATAATATGTTAAAATAGCCATTCATTTAGCTAAATGTGACACATTAGAAACTTGACTAGGTGAAGATGCGGCATTAAGTAGTAGTCCGTACAGGCAGTCAAAAAATATCAACTATTTAAGTAGTCGCACATTAAGAGCGAACTTAAGAATAATGTAAAATTCTCACTGGGGGTATAGATGGGGATTGTGGGGTATCGATCTCCCCGAGGTTTTAAAATAACATTTTAAAGGCCCATTATGCTTTTATTTGTTTTTCTTCAGCTTTTTTATTTTGATGTTCTTTTATATTATCAAAAAAATACACATTGGCCAATTACCTGATCTGTTGCTTTTTGACAATGGTGAGTACAGTACTGTTATAGTGATAAGTAGTTTACATGTTTTATATGGAAGTCAAATACTACATTGTTTTGACTACTTTTATGACAAATAATTTCACATTTATCGCTACTTTATTCAGGTAACAAGCATCCTACATTTCTCTGATACCATTATTTTAACATTATAAAATTCATCTTTCTAAAGAAGTATGCAAGATTTCCCATTAAAAAAGCATCTGGCGAACGGTTGTTACGGAGGGGAAAAAAATATTAACTGCATTTTATTTCATTCCTTACATATTTAAAATGGAGCTCAACATGGCACCAAAAGTTATCATGTAAATGACTGACAGAACGGGATATTTTTCTCAGCATCTTTAAACTTTAGGAATACACGATTTCTGTACTAAAATATTTTGAACGGTGGCAAAAAAGTGACATTTGCAACTTTTTGTTTGTTTTTGATACTTTTTATTTTGTACATATTTTTTGTTGTTTTTTTTTTTTGTTTGCAAATACCATCATTTTCATTTTTGGAGGTATCAAAAAGATAAAAACACTTTTTAGTATATATATATTTACATAGACATAGATATAATCTATGTCTCTGATATATACATGTACATGTATACTCGTATACATGTATATATTTTTTTTTCTAAATCAGTGGAATATAAGGACCTATTTAGATCTTTTATTGTGCATTATTGTAATACACCAGTCATTTGTAACCACCTCCCTTGCCCCCGGGGGAGTGCGGGTTAAAAAAGAATCGTGTGATGTCTGCGCTGTTCCGGGGCATAAGGCAGGAATGTTATTATCTGAATATCCCCCGCAGGGCGAAGATTTTACCATTGGTCGGCTTGGTTTAAAGTCAATGCCCCTCCCCCCGCTATACTCAGGGGGTGGGGTTGAGTGGTGCATATTCATTCACCAATCAACAGCCCTTTCCAAATAGACACTAATATAAAAGTAGATAATAATTTTAAAAAAAATACACTAATTATATAAAATACATATGATTTTAAAAATGGGCCGAAAAAGGTCGGCCGAAACCAGACTTGCGCGGCCAAAAACGACTGGGCCGATTCCAAAAAATGGCCGAAATGTGACCAAACTACTGTTGCTAAGTTTTATACTCAACTATGTGCTGTTATGAGATGTGAAGGCTGTTTTGATTGGCTAAAATATGTACGAAAAACCAAAATAAAAAATGTACGAAAAACTTTAATAAAATATGAATGCAAAGCTCAAAAAAAAAATATGAATGCAAACTGAAAAAAAATATGTATGCAAAACTTAAATAAAAATATGTATGCAAAACTTAAATAAATATAAATGCAAATGTCACTTTTTTATGCCACCGTAATTTTGTTATATGAACAAATTATTATTATTATTGGATATTTTTAAGTGGTAAAATTAATGAAACTTTTATCACTTAAGCATCATCAAAGTATTGACCGCCATCTTGAACTCCACCTCAAATATTTCAATCTCGCAGATCAAATATAAGCCAGTACTCAGTATTTAAGCAGAACCCTGTTGACACATTCAAATTCTGAAACCCAAAGTGCGTTGATATATAGCATATTTACGCACTTTGGGGTCACTTTCTCGATTTTGACCCCAAAGTGCGTTTGACCCCAAAGTGCGGTGCGAAGTTTAACGCACTTTGGGGTCGGACCCCAAAGTGCGTTTGACCCCAAAGTGCGGTGTTACAAAGCATATCAGAGGGTTTGGAAATTTCGTAACCATTATTTGTTTGGTCTGACGACCCAAACAAATAGAAATGTAAATGATAAAGACCTGTAATTATATATTTACCGCGTACACATCTTGGCATCCCTTCCGACCATATTCCTCCTTTACATTTGTACATTTTTTTCGTCACCACACGATAACCTTCATTGCACGTGACGTCATAGATACCATCCGCCACACTTTTTGCAGAAATCCTACCGTTCATGACACTAGTATTTATTACATTTCTCAGCTTTGCACCATGTCCGGATGTCTCTGAAAGAATGGCGCCACG